CCCTCCTGTTGCCTTCTTCTCGTCATCGCGAACGGCACCGCGTTCTCTGTCTTACGGTTTTTCTCCGCTCGACTTTTCGCCGTGCTCCTGTAATTTCGAGCGGCGTATCGCCGACCGAAACGAACGGATACGATCCTCTCCCTCGGCATGGCTATGACTTCCTCGCGCGTCATGCCGCGTGCTGTTACGCTCGCAAAACCGCGCAAATGAACAAGCGACTCGTCGGAAAAAGTGATATTGAGTTAATTGCGCGGCTTTTCCTCGGACCCGGTTCTTTCGTGACTTAGATCTGTTTGAACTAAGGAAGTTTTGCTGCACGAGGAGGATCAACAGAAAGGGAAATCTCTATACATAATTGGGTAGACCGGAATAGTTTGCAAGTCGTAATTTTAAGGAAATCTTTTTCAAATTATTTTTTCCCTTTTTTTGAAGTAACTTTTCTTTCAAGGAAATAAATAACTTGAAAGAAAAATGAAAGAAGTAATTAAATAACACGCAAAATTTAAAACTTTCAACTTAGATTGGTTATTTTAAAATACATTAACTTTAAATTGCCTTTTTTATATAAGTTAAAATAATTTACCAATATTAAAATTATTATTGGCTGCTTACAATACAAAATATGATAAATAAGAAACAATACTAGTAGAAATTTCGTCTCTCCCTAAACGTTCTTCTTGACGAAATTCTGAACACAAAACACAGTCGGTATTTTTTTATAAAAGACTGCTTTTTCATTATTTCATATAAATTTAATTTTTTCATTATGCAAAGAACATATAATGCTTTGCATAATTAATTTTTTACTTTAACAAATTCATTTAATTTTAACTTAGCTTTTAATCAAATTTGTTTTTGTTTATCTAACTTTTGACTTAACTAATTAATGATAATACTTTTGACTTAACTTAATTTTGTGAACCGTTAAACTTGAACCTTTAAACTTGATTTAATAAAAAAAAAATAAATTAACGTATCTAATTGTAAGGAAATAAATAAATTGAAGGAAATAATTAAGAGCATGTAAAAATACCTGACATGAACCATATGTGTTCTACGATATTTTCGGCGGTTTCGCAGGTAGATAATCAATGGAATTACATATGACGAACTGAAATAATCACGTGCAACAACTGTGATGTGCAAAGACTAAAAAGAAGAATAGGAAAGTACACCGTAATTTCACGGAAGAGAATCGTGGAACACCAAAGTGGTCTCTATCGAATTAGGGACGCACGGGTATCTCCCCTGTCTAAATAACACGGTATAACTCGGCGAAACGACGAAGCGTACGATAATATTCCTTCTTTATTAGAGACCATCGCGTGTCGTGGTGTCCCTTATTCCACAGCGGGACGATTAGGATGAGGGCCTTTTTGGAGGTAGCCACTCCTACGCTTCCAACGAATACCTGGCGATGGTTCCTGTGTAACCACAGTCGGGGAAAAGAAAAGAAAAGGAAACAGGAATGGGACACGACTCGATAGAGAATGAACGTTTCGACGGGATCTCTTTTCTTCCGGAATATTCCTTCACGTCGCTTGGGATTCTTCAATAAATTGTTTTCTTAAGTATTTATTTCATAAATTTCGAGATATATACAAACAAGTAAAGTGCAGAATAGCCAATAGAAGTCAATTACGGATGAGATTTACACTTTATTTTGGGAAGATAATAATGTTCTAACAGTGTCAAACATGCTGATGAGCTCCTCGGAATTGCTACGTGCGTGGCGAATCGCATCTTTCACGCCAGACCACAATCGTACATACAAAAAAATATCATTCTACTGCTAAGAAACGCGATTTATTTCCTTTCTTTCAAATAATAGTTCTCTTCAACAAAGAATATTTTCTTGAGAATAGTCTTGATATGTTCATCACAGATTTCAGAAGAATTATTACTATCATGTACCTATCGCTATTATATACCCAAAATATTTATTCTCTCTTTGTAAAAATACTATAAAATTTTATTGACGGAAAAATTGGCTCGACTCTACGTAGTAAACAAATCAAATTGTTGTTTTAGTTTAATATTGTTCATTGAAACGCTAAACTTACTAAAATTTAGAATGTATTTTGAATAAATTTGATGCTTGCGCGATGAACTTATGATAGATTTGTGGATATATGAACTTATGATATCATTGAAACAAGTAAAATTTATTTGAATGCAGTATGTATTTTACAATGTATATATCATCCCGATTATTATATTGTAATATTAAACTTCTCTCTCTCTCTCTTCCTTGATAATCCTTCCTTATTTATCTCGTTAAACGACAAGCATTTCCCGTTTTTCTTTTAAGTTATTCTTATGTTCTCTTTTTTCATTATAAAGTAATAATGTAATCCTTCCTTCCGATCGGCTCCAACTTCTCCGACAAGAAACGTGACCGATGCAACAATATACTCTCACGAAGAGTTCCGATTGGCCGGATGTGAATCCTCTCTTCGCACATCCGCGGTTGCCCACCGGTCGATTCGATGTTTCTTCTTTTTTTAGTTTTCTTTTGCAGCAAATTGTCGCCCCTTAAATTCTCCCAGAGCGCCAAGATCTTCGTTGAAATATTTCTCCACGTACGGTCGTTCGATTACGTTCTTCCGCCAGACCACCAGACATCGTGATTTTCGGTTCTCGCGAAGGCTCGCGTGCAACGACACGGATCAAAGCGTGAAACCGGGATTACATACGGAGATCGACCCTGTCTCGACTCGTCGCGGCCGACCGTTTCGATCGCGTGGCGACAGGTGCAGCTTCTCGGGAGCCGCCACAGGTGAACGCGCGTGATAATGGATCCCCCGGAAGCCGAGAGATCAATGCTCATCAGAGGTCTTCATTAAGAAACTAATAACAATGCACCGCGGAGATGCAGTGGATGCGCACTTCTGTGCGTTAATGTGCGAATATCCGACGTGCGCTCGAGAATGTAATAATGCAGGTATAGGGGAGAGACTGGGGCTGATTGACTGCCGGGGTAAGTTGACAAAACCGGATTATTTCTGCTAGTTTCTAACAAGTTACAGAATTGAGCAAGCAGGATTCTTGAATATGTCAAAAACGGCAAACTCCCTGCTTGCTTGATTCTGAAATCTGTTAAAGAGCAGTAGAAACAATTAATTTCGCCAACTTACCCCGGTTTCCTCTACACGGTAAGAAATATTCTGCTCGTGTAACTGATTTTTTGTCATTTGGAAGTCCGACAAAAAGTCAATTGTACAGTTGATTAAAGGCTACCACAACTTTCCCTCGATGAGTTTTGCAACGCATTCCGTATATCCAATAGGGAAATGTATCGCCTGAGAATTACAAAAAAAAAAGTCTCCAATTGGACACGAAATATGCTACGAAATTCACCGAGAAAAAATGTTTCAAAACTTTAGTCAGTCAATTATAATTCAAAATAACTTCCGGTTCTTATGAAATGTCATATTCTTGAAGGAATTCTGAAGCAATCTCTCAAAATGTGACTCAAAGTTTAGTTTTTAAAGTTATAAAAATAAGTAGTTTGTCTATTACGATCGGGTACAGATTAAAAGGTTGTCTGTAACTTTTGGAGTGAATTTATAAACTCATCTTTCTTGTCCAACGAGAGCTTTCTGCCACTGAATAAATTGACGAGTTCACAAACTCACTCCAAAAAATTACGTACAACCTTTTAGACCCCGACAGTACAGGCAGGGGCGATGCAACTCAGGTGCCTTTTTTGGATTTAACAACACTTATTAAATCCAAAGAAACACTGTTCTCTCTGATTTTACTATTATAGCATTGTATTCACCGTTAAAGCTTCCAGCAGGCAAAACGTCTTCGTGCGAGACTTACCGGGCGGTATCATCCGCGTTAATTAGTCGCCGTCTTAAAATTCCGTAATTTATCGCTATCAAGGAGACGACGACGCAGGAAAACATTACTTCATATCGACTTATCTTGAGTCCACATGTACGAAGTCTCGCTTCGTTGACCGGCAATTATCGCCGAATGCGTTCTGTCGTCGCCGCGTGAGATAACGGAAATTTATTCGACGCGGCCGAATTCACTTCCGGCGCCGCGTCGTCGGAATAATTCGCAGCCGACGCGACGTGTATCTCGTCGAGATGATCGGCGAACGCCGAGCGGTTATGCAAATGCCCAATCATCCTTAAGAGCGTTTTAATTGACACGCGCGTGAGAAATTCGCGGGGCGCGCGCGCGTGCGTGTGCACGCGTTTCTTGCACGCGACGTGCGTGCCGGCGTGTCTCGCGAGCCCTTTCCCCCGCCCCTACTACCCGACCAATTGTTCCCGCGTCGTTACGCAAGCTTCATCACTTCCTCCCGCCGAGACCCGCGGCCAATTAACGCTAATTATTGAGGACTACTAATTCGCCGGAGAGTACGCCGAACTTGATTCTCCGCGTATCGCGGAGGTCGCGCCGTAATTTGCTTACCCGATAAAAAGCGGAAGCCCGTGAATTCCTCAAGCGCGATAATACGCGAGCGACGCGTACGTGGGGAAGGGAGCAGGAATGTAGATGTAATTAATTCGTTACGAACGAGCGGACAAACGTGCACTTTTCTTCACGCGGAGAAAGCATGCAGGACTTAAAAAGGAAAAAGAAGCGGATGCGATGCACGATGATTTATCGTATATACAAATCGGCATCGAAGTCTTTACACGTGAAGCAATACTCTTTTAGAGCAAATAACATTGTTCAGGGACCGAATATCGAAATTAGCTTGCTAATCCTGTAGGATATTCATGGAATACCGCGTATTTAGTTAATAATTGCTACAACATAGTCTATAAATATAGTCTGTTTTACTCCAAATGGCGGATTAAGCTGACTTAAACTAAGTGGGTTTAGCTGTCACGCGTTGTGACTTCGTCACACAGCTATGATGTGACTTACGTAAAAGCATGGAAGCGTACACAGTGATATATTATGTACATATCACAATAGTGAGTATGCATAAGATCTTATATAGCTCAAAGTTATTATTATCAAATAGTAGAGTATCAAAATTAAAAAAAAAATGTCACATTTTTAAATATGGTGTGCCAAGTCTTGGCA